CTGCTACTACTGCTACTACTACTCCTGCTACTACTACCACTACGACGACGACAACGACGACAACGACGACGACGAGGACAAGGACGAGGACGAGGAGGAGGAGGATGAGGAGGAAGAGGACGACGACGACCACGAGGAGGACGACGGCTGTCGCTATCAGTCAGTGGCATTCAGTGGATATGGCCAAGTCTCAATCCCCAAACTGTAATTCGACCCTTAAAACCGTAGCAGCTAAATGCCAAAATGATCATCCAGCTGCTGCTTCTTCGCATCAAGCCAGCAGGGCTCTTCCGCACTCACCGGCCGCGCTTTCGTGCGCCAGAGCTGGCGTCGCAGCGAAGGGATTCCATGGGCCTCGGCTGTGCGGTATATAGGGGCATTTGCAAGCTTCAGCCGCAGTATATAAAATGCAAGTAGAGAGAGAGAGAGAGAGATATATATATATATATACAATTATAGATAGGTAGACAGATAGAGAGGTAGGTAGATAGGTAGATAGGTAGATAGACAGATAGATAGATAGATAGATCGATCGATAGACAGTCAGATACACAGATAGATAGATCGATCGATAGATCGATCGATAGATAGAGAGATAGATAGACAGATAGACAGATAGATAGATAGATAGATAGATAAATAGATAGGTAGGTAGAGAGATAGATAGATATATAGATAGATAGATAGATCGACAGATAGATAGATACATAGATAGATTGATTGGTAGATAGATAGGTACATAGGTAGGTAGATAGATAGATAGATAGATAGATTAATAGAGAGGTACTGTAGGTAGATAGATGAGATAGAGAGATCGATGATAGATCGTTCGAATTATCGACAGAAATGTCGAGCGAACCATCGATAGATAGATGGATAGATGATAGAGTTACAAATAGTTATACACTAGCTTTAGCTATCATAAGGGTGTCTGAGGAAGAGCATTGCTGACTGTATTAAGTCCACTATGTCAGCATTTCGGGCTTCAGGAATTCTGAAGAGGTTTTTAGGAGGCTGCTAAGGCTCAGGGCTCAGGGTTTAGGAATTTGGGGTTAAGCATTTCTGGGTGGCCTCGGCTGGTAGATGCGACCACCACTGGCACCACACAAGATAATCATCAAGCAACTTGCTCAGAGAACAAGCAGTGATCAGCATGAGGACTGCACTTCCCGTTGCATGTTGCTATGTTTGAAACCGCATTTGGATTATTCATGCTGCATGAAGACATGCACAACGTCCGACGATTTCCAGCAAGAACGAGGTTGGGTTTGCTACCAATTTCCGCTTATTCCTATCTACCTTGCCGTGATTCTCCTTGTACATAACTACTCTTCAACAAAACCCTAAACCGCAGACCCTTAAACCCTAAAGCTACAATAACGAGCACCGATGTGTGGGACGATACAGCTTGAGGAAGAGCGGGGCTTGGTATATCCCCCCCGCCGTCTCCGTGAACGCACACACACACACACACACACACGCACACACACACACACACGCACACGCACACCCCCACACACCCACACACCCACCCACGGTTCAGAGCATAGGGTGTAAAGTTTAAGGTTAAAGGGTCCTGAATTCCTAACCCCACATCCAGAGTCTTAGTCCTATACTCCCAACCTAAAGAGGCAAACGCTGCGCCCCAGCAAAAAGGCCCCCTCCCGGATGCTCCAAGACGGTGTGATCCCAGCTGCTCGTAGGTGTTTTCGATGCCGCAAACGCTCCCGCGAGAGCCTGACACTTCTTGGCGCGCGCAGCTGGCATTGGATTTCACAAGGCATCTGTAACTCCATAACCCGAAACGTATATGTATGTGCGTATATGTGTACATATACATATGTAACTCATATGTGTATAACTACCGGGTGCTATAAATTCCTTTCATGGTCAGGCTCCTGGAGGGCATTTGAAGCATCTTGGGATTCTCGCGGCCCTAAACCCGAAACTCCTTAAGGCCTTTTGAGGGTTTAGGCTTCCGGGGCCGAGGAGTTTCAGGGTACGAGCAGGGTTCAGGACTATTTCTGAAGCTCGGGCGTAGGGTTGGGCTTTGACTCTAGACCCTAGCCCCTCAACCCTAACCCCAAAACCACTCGACCTCTAAACCCTAGACCCTGAACCCCTATAAGCCTCTAAACCCTAAACCCCGAAACCGTTAAACCCTAAACCCTGAGCCGACTCTTACTCTTACCCCTATTATCAGCCCAAAGTCCTACACTCTCCCTATTTCCGGCGATAACGGGAAGCTTCTAAAAGCTTCATGGCCTAAGGACCCTCAGGGTGAATCTACCTGAAGGTTTCTGTAGGATTCTTTGCGGGGCTCTTCATTGCAAGGGTACCCCAATAGTCCATTGTGCAAAGACACCCAACAAGGACCGTCCCTACACCTTAAATGTTCAACTCTAACCCAAACCTAGATCCACAACGCTCCTGTCTACTCCCCAGTAAGGTACCAAAAACAACTACGATCTCTTGGGGATCCCTCTATAAGACAAAAGAAGCTCAGGACAAAGCAAACTAAAGAGCAGCGACGCGCTGCATAGTAAACTCCCCCAGCCCGAATTTGAACCCGTAGTCACCCTAAACTAAACCCTACAAACCCTGGTTTCGGGCCGCCTTATACTATAATTATAATAAGGAACCCCCACAAAAATAATATGCGTAATTATTAAGGCGGAGCTGAGGAGCTCTAGGCGGAGGCCCGCAAAGAGGAAGTTGGCCGAGCTTTGCCGGCCAAGGCTGCGCGTGGGGCAGCTGCCTCTAGGGCTCTTTTAAGGGGGACCCTGGTCCCTAAACCCTAAACCCTAAACCCTAAACCCTAAACCCTAAACCGGGCTTTGGGGTTTAGGGTTTAGGGGGGACCCTGGTCTAGAACCCTTGAGTACCCTTTAAGGGCAACCCCCTAGTATGCAGCCCTACAGTACCCCTTTAAGGGTTCCTCTAGCTTCCACTGGGGGACCCATGATAGCATGATAGTCTTCGGGCTGTTTACGTTTACGGATTTGGGGGGCTTAAGGTTGCAAGGCTTTGGGGCTTGAGGGTTTATAGTAAACCCCAAAAAGTTGGAAACCGGATTCAGGACAAATAGTGCTGGGATTCCCTATATATTACTCTTAAGGGTTGAGGCTATTGGGTTTTCAACTTTTGGGCTTCTAGTATACTTCTTGTGTTTTTACGGGTTCGGGGTTTCAGGGTGTAGGGCAGGGGCTTAAGGGCGCAGGGGGATTCCGGTCGCCCTGAACCCTTGCAACCCGAAGCTCTGGCACCGATCCAACCCTGAACCGCAAATCCTAAACCGCTATATAAACCCCTTAACCCCAAACCCCAAACCGCTTAAATTTATAACCCCCTAAACCCTGAACCGCAACAAAAACCCCAAACGAAACCCTGGGTTCTTCGGGCCTCCCTGGGAGCAGAGCACGGTGTTTCGCCAGGAGCCGTTAAATGGCAGTGCCCCCGCAGCGCCTTGCAGATTAAAGAGCAGCGGGCGTAATCATTTCGGAATGGAGTTTGGGCATGTGTTTTGAACTCGGGGTGTTATAATATTGTTTCATGGGGCTCTGCAAGGGCCCTATTGACGAGTTTAGAATATGGTTTGTGGGTACCGGGGCTTTGTAGTGCTCTTCTGAGGCTTGAAAGAAGCATGGACCTTAATCATTAGGAACGGTGCTGTATTTCAGACGTCCTGGCCCAGTAATGCTCGTAGTTACACGTTAAGGAGACTCCCATCGCAGCTAGCTCTTGCCCGGAAACCCTTTGTTCGAAGCAGCTACACCACAAGAAGCCAACACCACGACGTGCATTTAAACCTCTATCTTTGTATGTCTGTAAGATTTTTTTGGTGTACCGAGACGTTCCAGCTACCCCCTGGTAGACCCTAAATACGCATTACCTGGGACCATATACCCCCATCTGAGGGTACAAGGATAGGGTCCTGGTATGTACTTGCTATGATCTTACCCCGACACTCCAGCCCTAACACCAAATCCTACACCCTAAACCCCTAAACCCTCAACCCTTCGCCCTAAACCTTATATAAACCCTACACCCTAAACCTGAACCCAGCCTCCGCGGAACCTGTTAAGGAGGAATCCTCGCCAAGCGGCCTCCCGAGACGTTAAAGCAACCCCTTTCACGGTAGGATCCGTTTCCTAAGCGCTAAAGGGGTTTTGGGTTCAGGGTCTAGGGGTCACGGGCTTAAGGTTCTGCGTTTTGGGGTTTGGGGGTCACGGGTTTAGGGTTCTGCGTTTTCGGGTTTAGGGGTCACGGGCTTAGGGTTTTGCGTCTAGGGGTTTAGGGGTCACGGGTTTAGGGTTTTGCGTTTAGGGGTTTTGGGTTTAGGGTTTAGGCCTAAGCCCTACCTAGAGTCTCCATTGCAATTCCTTTTTTGGGTTGAACCAACTGAATGTTAGGATCCCGAGACTATAGGTAAGCCCCAGTTTAGAGAGGCCCCAAAGACAGAATTTAGGGCTTCGAGGCTCAGGGGACGAGTAAAGAGTATGCTTAGGACTAAAGGCCTCTTCCCAAATGCTCGCAACGCCGGAAATCGCACTAAACCCTTTGAGCAGGCAGGTAGCTCACCCCTAAACCCTAAAACCCCTGAGCCCTAAACCCTAAACCCTAAACCCCTGAACCCTAAACCCCTAAACCCCAAAAACCTTAAAACCCTGAATCCTAAACCCCCTAAACCCCAAAAACCCTAAAACCCTAAACCCCTAAAACCTAAACCCCAAAAACCCCATAAACACGGGGACTGGGTCTTCACAAGGCTTCCCTCCTGGGCTTCGGCTATGGGTGACCCGGCTGCCCAGTTTAGGGCTTAGGGTTTAGGGTTTTAGCGGAGCTTTCCTTGTAGAACCAGACTTAAGGTTCAGGGGTTTAGGGGTCACGGGTTTAGGGTAAACCCTAAACCCATATTATAGAACCTCTCAGAATCAACAAGCCCTTATAGACGCCATAACCCTAAACCCTAAACCCATATTATAGAACCTCTAAGGCTCTGAAGAGAACGACCCCTGAACTATCTTCTGTCCACTGCTCTCACTTGATGATGCTTGGCCCCTAAGCCCAAGTCCAAAGCCAGAAGCTTCAGAGTTTAATGATTTAATGTAGGGGCCTTAATAACGAGAATAGGGTTTTGGGGCCCACAATATTCTAAGTATAATAAGGACTCCCCCCCAAAAAATAATATGGGTAATTCCTAAGGCCCCCACACTATGGCTTCGGAAGAAGCGTCTGGCAAGCTATGCCCGCCCCCCCCCACCGAACATCGGCGCCTCATCTGAAAGCAGCCGGTGGAACACCGCCGACGAGCAGGTGAGCGTGGCCACGTCGCCTGCACGCCCAGCAGCTTTTGAGCGCCTTTGGAGCATGCTGAAATCCTCAGTGCGGCGTATCTGCAGTTTTCCATAGGGTTTGGGCTTGAGGGTTCTATGGTCACTCCATGACGCTATGACCTTAAAGCCCCCCCAAAAACCCAAACTGCCCAGGCCTTGGGCATCGTAGCTTGCCAGGAAGGATGCCTCCGTGGGTCTTGCGGCTTACAGTTCTATCCGGCCTTACGGTGGTCATGAGGATTTAACATAGGGGCCTTAATGATTTGAATAGGGTTTGGGGCTATGGAACCCTAAGGAATAAGATTGGTAATGATTTAGGCTTCTACAGTATCCATGTTGAGGGAGTTTAGGGGGTCTCAAGGCTTTGCAGGATTCAAAGGAGTCTTGCTGAAGTCTTAAAGGCCGAAGACGATCCCGTGATGTGGTTTGGGCCCCGGCAGAAGCGGCGAGAAATGCAGGATCTGTGGAAGTTTGTTCCAGGAATGAACTGGGTTGTAGTTTCGGCCCCCCCAAATCATATTTGAATAGGTACCTCTATAGGTACGTTAAGGGAAAATTCACAAGTTTCCCAAGGCGCCACATAGTGATGCATACCCTGACTAAGCCCGAAAAGCCGTTGGTCCGAAGTTCCAAAGCAACCCTAACCCCCCAGGTACCTACTATATAGGGCCTTAGGGGCTCTAGTACCTCATATAGTAGGTACCTGGGGGGTTAGGGCAACACAGCTCAGAACGATCGCTCACCTCATCGCCTTCTTTCGGCTCTCTACCTCCTCCGCAGCAGGTTAACCTACCTGGAAAAGAATAAGAGAAGGCGCTGAAATGACTGTACACGGTGAGGTGCTGGAAGAACCCAGGTCAGAAGACTTTTCATAAATCCGAAGCTGCTGCACACCCCTCTGGCCAACAATTGGACTTGAAATAAGATGCCACGGAGATCCAAATCTCTGGGCTCAGGCTCGCCAACAGCAGCCCTGCGGTTAGGCTTAGGTGCTCAGGGGCTTAGGGTTACCAAGCCCCCTGTGAGGAGTAGATCCCTGAAGGGGGTTCATAGCAAGTATACCCTTTAATAGTATAGGATCCCAATTCAGGGGATCTACTTTTTAGATCCTTCCTGGGGTCTGGGTCTATACGGTTCGAAGGGGTGTTTTTTCAGTGACGCCCGACAGGTTCAGAACGCGGCGCTGGGAGGATCATGCTTGATTTCTTCAAGAAGACCACGGCCGAAACCTCCGCCGAACCCCCTAACCCCTGACCCTACACCCTATAAGCCCTACAAGGCCTGGACCCTATGAGCCCTAAACCCTGACCCTGCTGTAAAGGAACCATGAGTCCCAAAACACCGAACCCTCGTTTAGAGCTCTAGGGCTTTAGGGTTTTAGGGTCTGTTTAGGGTTTTAGGGGTTTTAGGGTTTGTCAGATCTGACACGCAAAGAACATGCTATGCCAGGTCTAAGGCCTTTGCTCAGGATCAATCTCATCGGGAGAGGAATCATTGCTGGTCTCTGGCCTGAGAAGCGAACGAGTGTAAGAGCTAACTAATCGAACAACATCCCAAACGTCAGATCTCGCGCGCAAAGACATGCCGTGCCAGGTCCAAGCCCCTTGCTCCGGAGCGATCTCTTTGGGAGGGAAGTCATCGCTGGTCTCTGGCCTGAGAAGCGAACGGATGTGGGAGCCTACTGATCGAACAATACCACTAGGCGTCAGATCTGATACGCAAAGAACATGCTATGCCAGGTCCGAGGCCCCTGCTCCAGATCCATCTCATGGGGTGGGACGTCCTCCTTCGTTTTTACGTAGCGCCGCCTGAAAAGGAGCGTATAGGAAATGAATGGTGTATAGTCGCAAAATGTGTCACATTATGTAATAAAGTAATGCATTGAAGCGGCTTGCGCTTGCCGGGGGTCTTGTTCTTAGTGCGGTTAGTGCGGAGGTGCTCTGGGCGCTGATAATAGCAAAGCCCAGTCTCGTCCAAGACAGGACTACGCCCCATACAGAATTGGACTGGGTCGGTGGCTGGCTCATAGATCTGCTGTCGCTTTCGGCATCGTCCTCCATTAGAAGGCTGTAGCACCAGTGAGCGTGACTTCTGGTGTTTCCGCTTGATGCCCGGCTCAGCCAATTGCTTGGGAATGTCCAAACGCTGCCATCTCGTAGTCGAATCAGGGGTGCGCAGCGGATGCAGTCCTAGGACAACAGGGTTCGACCAGGATAGCTTACAGCATGTAGGATGCACCAGGAGTAGTACAATCGCTGATTATGTCAGCATGTATGCAGGATGAGCTGCCGGTATCCGTAGTCCGGGTCGGGCAAGGAGAGTTAACGGCCACTTGAAGTGGGCTGATGTTGGACACTCCTCTGCAGTGCGCAATACTAGCATGTCTGGTAATGACTCATGTAAAACATTTGTCTATCAGCGTCTGAAAGGTCCAAAGCCCACTATACCCA